GCCTTCACATTGTCAATGGTGTCGCTGGCCTCGACATCCAAGGTGATAGTCTTGCCCGTCAAGGTCTTCACAAAGATTTGCATGGCTAGTTTCAATCCGAATTTCCGTCCAAGTTGGGAAGCAACCTCTTGAGAGAGGATCGTTCCAAGACCTTTATTCTGAGCCAGGGCATTGGAAATCTCAGCTGGATGTTGATCATTTGCCATGGTGATGTGATGCGATTTGACCAGTGGAGCTTCCAAAACCTAAAGAACATGTCTAATTACTGGTGGACTGACCGTTTGTTTCAAGTCGTGTGCCTTCTTGTAAGTTGTGAATCTGGATCCGACTGTTCCTCATCATTACCAACAAAAACTCACGAAGTTTGCTGTCTAGATTGTAGTCATCTCCTCCGCAATCCTCCACAACTAATGAACACTCATCTCAATAGTGTGAGAGCACAGCTGTTTTTGGTCTATCGTCGACCATGGACACGGACGCTCAGAGTTTCGAAGAGATGGAACGTTGCATTCTTGTAGACTCTTGTTGAGTAAAACTCCCCAGATGAAGGGACCATATTATATATATATAATACAATCCTAATACAATCCAACTGGGGATGTATAAATCAAGAGTCTACATTCATGTATCCTGCTGTTGATCCTGTTGCCCATCCCTGACGCGGGAGTTGACCGTCAAGTTGCAGCAAGCGGTCGCTCCAGTCCCAAATTGCCTCAAGCCAGGTGTTGTGTTCAACAAATCCAGCATGGTGCCGCGCCCCCCTTCTTATGACAAGGAATGGTGCGTCCATCCTATACTTAAAGACTTAGAGTTTTGCCACACACATACACACTCCAACCACGTACCACGTCGAGTGTTGGACTTCAATGTGTCAAGTCAATCTTTGGTGGCAAGAAGGCAAGAAGGAGGCTCAAACAAACATGGGCTGCAACAAACTTGCAAAAAAGGTTTAGCTTCTATCGGGAACTCACATGGCAAACGAGATCATCTACTGTACCAAGTGGTTGGTTTTCTGTGTTTTGATTGATGTAGCTCCCGGAAATGATACGTATAAGAATATCATTCAGGAGTACACCTTGATATTTGAGAAAAACACCTTCCTCTACCTTCACAACCTGCTTTTCATCAGTATCTTTGCTTCGTTTACTACCTGACACTTCCCCCACCACATTACATGGCGCCCAGGTTGCCAGTGTTGTCGCGGATGCTTTCAACTCCAGCTGCGCATTCTTCGCCATGAGACCCTTCGGAACACCAAACAACTATTTGCTTCGTTAGCACCGGCACCAACCTGTGAGACGACTATATAGAAGAAAGCATGCACTAACGACAAATGACTACTTGTCGAACATCCTCTTAGTGTGTGTGCGTGTATCCATGACCCCCGCACTTATTGCCAATGATTCCGATCTGTTCCGGAACGTTGAATGTGCTACAGGCTGCTCTTACACGTTATGCTGACTTGAAATCGCCGGATGAACGCCCTTTCGGCAACCCGGAGCTGGAGCCCCAGCGGACAGCGCCCGAAAAAGGTGACTTTGCAGCTATGAGCTATGAATCCTTTCCATCTGTATCTGTGTCCATTCTTGACCTCAACTGGGTCGCTTTTGGTCTAAACGGTGTGTGTTCGTAGAAGGGCACTACAGTATTCACTGGGTCAAGAGATTCCAGCTGTAAGCCAATGAGTCAGACCCAATTCGACGCACCATCCCAGGCCATCCAATGCAGCACTCGCGTTCTGAGAGAGACGGAAGGTTTTTTTAAATGGGGACTCACTCTGAGGCCCAAACATGGACTCCTAAAGTTGAACTTTACCCTCCACCTTTTGCATTCCTCCCACCTACTATGGCCGTCTAGCCGCATGCAGTAGCGGTGCATGTGAAAATGTGGGAGGCGCTGCCTGCAGTAGCGGCCTTGAACAACTTCATGCTAAATTGCGTTCAAAGGAACATGCATGAAGGAATGAAAGGAACATGCCAAGGAACACTTAATTACGGTCCTTGATGCCAAGGAGCATGCATGCCCATGTTTCATGAAAAAAAACAATGAAAGGACCGTAAGTGTTGTGCATGGGTCGTTGAAGGCCGTTGGAAAACGCAGGCAGCTCTTCAAGCGATGTCATTTGACACGGGCCCTGAATTCCATCCTACGCAGCTTCAGCGCGGCCAGCTAAAAAAGCAGGGATTTGGACTCATATACAATGACTGGGCTTCTTCAACTCTTTAAGAGGTCCTGAAAGCATTTACAATAATGAGTCTCTCGAGGGGACAGCATTTTGCAGCTCGGAGTTGAAGCTGGGGAACCCTGCAATTTCAGCGGTAAAAGTAACATTGTGTAAGAGTGTCAAACTCCGAACCCCATTAATGGAAGTGCGTGCCTTTGTAGTATGTTGCATTCTTTGGTGGAAACTTGGGAAGGTTCTCTTGGGCCAGGAAGGGGTCGAATCCAACAAATGGTCGTCACAAATCATGACGTGCACTGTACACCCTGACCCTGCCTACCCGCCAGACGCCCCCAAGCTACGCCTACTGTGGAACTGCCACCATGTGATGCTCCCTTTGGAAGCCAACGGTGGCATGCTTGGCCACAGTCTGCCATGCTCGTGCGGCAGCTTGCAGCGCTCATCGGATGCAGCGCACAAAAGCGGAGCACTGGACATCTTCTTGCCACAAGTACGCTGGTCTTGACTTGTAGATTGTTCAAGATAGTTTCAAACCATCTTTGGTATTTGGTCCTTTCCGAGCTCTTTCGACGAAACTCCATGTTGTCCATATGGTGTCTTTACCATTCTGTACTTATTGAAAACAACCTCTGGCTGGACTAAGTGTCCAGGTTGGCGCGCACCTTGTCCAATTGTGGCTGTCCGAAGTCAAAGTCCAGTGACTGCGATCACACACCAAACCTCAGTTGATAGGTACATTCAGCAAATCTGACCCCTGGGCTTTGGAAAAGGAGCAATTGCTGCATGATTGTTCACCCAAGATCACCAGCAAAGCCTGCACAGCACGTTTCCATTTTTGACACCACGGCACATGGCCTTCACTGTCTGGATCTCTGAAACGTCTGCCGCAGGCGATGAGCTTGGTTTCATGTGGTCCTTATGTGGTTTTCCACGTCTTTAACTTCTATAACCATCCTGAAGTACATAGAATTGGCGGCTCAATTCCGTAGTTTATGTACTTAAGGACGGTTGTAGATCATCCGGGTCAGGAATTGCAGATCTCTGCACCCCATAGCTGGACACTCTTTGGTGCCCATGTGAGTACCATGTGACTGTAGCATAGGCTGACGACTGATGCATCATGTCTCTATGAGGGCAGGTCTCGGCAACTCGAACCAACAGTGATCGACGCAGTGATCGACGCTTGGGGTCAGCCCCTGTTTCCTACTCTGCGTTGCAAGTAATGAGGTTTGCTGCTCCGCAAGCTGGTCAACATGCAGCATCCAATTCATGTTCACGTTCAACATCTTTGACTCCTTCCGACACAACATGCTCACCTTGCCAGTCTGGGCATCATCATCATCACCACACTTGGCCCACTTGTATGCCTGTCTTTTTCGGCGTCTTGCAGTTGGAATCATCCAGTCTTTGTGACCACCTTGGGTGTCGTTTTCTGGCTTCGTTGCGCTCTCGTTCGAGTCGCCAGGGCCTCCGAGGTCCTCCAGCTCTATGTCGAAGAAGAAACTCACTCCCAGGCATGTGGCTCGGCCAGCGGTGCTCGGCCCCAGCTTTCTGAGGACCTCAATCGCTTCACGCGGGTGACGCTGTGCACAACTCGATGTGCACAAAAACAACATACACTCTCTCCAACAGTAACTGTCTGAGGGAATGGTACTCTTGCCGCCTCACCAAAGGGTGAGGTCGCTAATGAAAATCGGCACAGCATGCTCCTGTTTGCAAAAGTTTTGACTATTCAACTTGTAGCAGTCGACCTGTTTATAAGCCACCAGAAGTCTAGGCTGCCCCACGGGAGTTGGAAGCGAAGCAAACCGCGGGAGTGCCAAACAAAGAGCTGGTCCTCAAGCAACTGCAAGCCTTGCAGGCTGGCACCATCAAGGTTAAGGCCTAGCGAAGCTCGCAGGAATGAAAGAAATCAATGGCAAGCCATGAAAACGGATGAACATGGTTGATCAAAGCAAACATGTCACCAATCAAAGCCAATCATCTTAGGTTGGGGATATTCTATAATAATACTCCGGGATTTTGAAAGCTGTCCGTCAACCAACACCTGTTCACAGCAAAGACTACCTGACAGAGCAAAGATGAAGGTGGTGGGACCCTTGGTGTGACCCGCCAGGGATGCCCAAATAGAACTCCTCTTGCACTTGTGAAACACTGTCATACCTTACAGTAAATCTTAAGCAAATCAATCCTACAGGCAAAAGCATGACAGAACGAACCAAAACAAAAAAACAGTATATATCATCATCATCATCATCATCATCATCATCATCATCATCATCATCATCATCAAACTGCCACTACCACTAAATCATTAAAAACATGTCTTTCTCTATGCCATATGCATCTCTCTTTTCTCTCTCCTTGCCTTGTGTCACGCTACTCCGTGCACCCATGGGATGTCGGAAGAGCTCCACCGCCTCGTGGCTCCAGCGGCCCAGCGCCGCCCAGCGGCCGTGCAGCACCAGGTAGGCAACACCAGGGGTGGCGCAGCAAAGGGCGAGGCCCGGGAAGGTGTCTTGATGCTTCACCTGGAGAGTTCAGGAGGTGTTTTTTGTCCTCAAGGGATCTGAGAGAGGGTGTGAAAAATGAGCTGGAAGGGATGGAATTTGGCTGTGAACATCACTTAGGTAAGGACCATTTATGGACCTTATGTGTCCTCTTTTTTTTTGTGTTTGAGTTTGTGATAGTGCCGGCTTGTTCCAGCTTTATGGAAAGGCTTTCTAGCACACACACAGTAATTCAATGTAATTCATTAAGCTTTGGGTAAAACTGGGCCAATTGGCTGCGCAAACACTCGGATGATCTCGGATGTGAAGGTTTCTCGTAGAAGTATGGGCCATGGGCCGGTCCTACTTGAACCGATGGATGTGAACCGCTTGGAATCGTCTCCCCGTGGCTGAACTTCATGATAGCATATTGTGATGTCTGTGTCAACTTATGTTTGTCAGATGTTACCTGCACATCCATGAACAGCATAGAACCAACCAATGTTCTTCCCTGATTCTTTACCCTCAGCAAGCGTGCTCTACAGTGACAGCCAAAAAGAACCAAAAAGCTCTGTCACTGAAATTGACAACGATCAAATGAACTTTGTAATATAATCTCTCTCTCTCTATATGTATATAACAAGTATCCTAGAAGTCCGGGGTTTGGATGATGATAAAATATAAGCACCCTCCCATGTCCAAAAAATATCTTGGGCCCGCCAAGCAGCTTTGATGCAGCCAGCACCCGCTGCATCATCTTCCACCCAACCTGAAGTGAAGCACCAACAACATCTCCAATGAGCCCCACGGGAGTGCAAAGGGAGAACATATCAAAGGTTGGACCAAGCCGAGAATAAGTGGGCGGTTCCAGCAAAGGTATGCAAAGGTCCTATGCTGGTCCTATGCCTACTACGTAATTATATATATCCATTATGATTTTTTGCCTTGCTTCCCTTCCATCACTCTCAGGGCATCTCGGAAGGGAAGGTCTGAACTCTGAGCACATCATAGAACTTTCCAGCATCTCGTCTCACGCCACCCTCATCTCACATCCCTTTAAACGTGTGTCATAGCGCCCCCCGGACCCGTTCCAAGGCGCAGTGAACAAGTGCTCCATGGCCTTGGCTCCGCAACACCGCCACCAAACCCCACTGCGTCGAGTGCGCCGCGCAGGCCGTCAGGCCTAAGAGCTGCTGGGAGCAGCCGTCCGGGGACGCCAAGGTCAGTACTGCGCCTGCGGAGGGCTTGGTGAGAGTCCACTCTCAGGTGGTTTGGCGCTGGAAAGGCCATCTGGGTGAACCACTTCAGCATCCGTCCCCCATTCTCTCGCTCTCATGGCCTTTAGAGTTGCTCTTCTGCAAAATCATTCCCCTCTGAGCCATCATCGCCTCCAACTCCTGCCGTGCAATTGCGCCCTCGCACTTGTTTTCTGGTTGGTGTTTTCAACCCACTTGAAAAATACTAGTCAGAGGGTCCAATCATCCCCAAGTAAGGGTTGAAAATAAAAATATCCGAAACCATCACCTAGTTTTCTTCCCGTGATGATACGCCGCTCTTGACATTTCAAGGGTCCATTAACGGCAATAACCCAAGGTGGCCTATCAATTTTCCACAAAAACAAATCGGGCTCAAACATGTTTAGAAGTCTGGTGGCCTGCCTTCATCCAGTTCCCACTGTGCGACTGACTGTCTCCTGTCTCCTCTCTCCCAACAAGACTCCCAACAAGTGGGCTCAAACACACATGCTTACTGCTTACTCATGCTTTCTGCTGATCTGTTTTCAGCACATCACCTCCACTCTGACCCCTCGACAGTGCAAAGCCCTAAAGATTGAATGGCCACCACCGAGAGAATGAGTCAACATCTGGTCACCTAGTCTCTTGCCTTCACCTTGGTTGGGATCTGAGTTGAGAAGCTGGGAGTATCCAGTCTCCGCTCTGGTTTTCTATCATCAATTAGTTAACCCAGGCGCTGGAGGGAGACTATCCCAAATATCCCAACCAGTCAGCCACCTGACCCACTGCATCTCATCTCCTCGTCCACCTCATCGGCCGCCAGCTCAGGCTCGCCAGCTCCAAGCGCGTTTGGGTCCAACTCTGGTGGTGCCGATCCTTAGAAAGGGCGTCTTGGTTCGGCTGGGAAAGGGAAAAGCCTGCCATAAACCACAAGCACATAGAGGGACCAACTTTGATCACCTGCATGTTCTTGAAAAAGAACTGCTTGTCTTTAGTAGACGCCTTTTGTCTTTCTAGGTCATGTCAACACAGCTTGTGTAGCTGGTTTGCCATGGCCCGAACTCTGAAACAATTTCATGGACCCCTGCATAGAGCTCCTCCGTGTTCTGTCTTCATCCTTCTTTGGCCACGCTTCTCTCTAGCTCGTAGCTGCCATTGCTCAAAATCAAGCAGCGGCCGTTGCAAATGCTGGCTGCCAGTGGTGGTGATGACCCAAAGCAATGGGAAACGGTCTCCAAGACCAAATCCTTAGAGCAGCGGCCGTGGTTCAAGATGCTTCTGAATCTCGTCATCAAGTCATGAAGCCTTCTGAACAATTCGGCATGCTCTGGAAAATGTCTGAGGCTTAGACGGTCTTAGTCTTAGTTCAACCATATTTCATAAGACCATGTGCAGGTCGTGCATGTCAACATGTTATAATGAGGAAAGCACGTCAACCGAGCGAATCTGGAGATGAAAACAAGAACGTAATCCTGATTTGGTGGAGGAAAAGGACAAACATGTTCCTTGGAAAGCGAGCTGTCTGCTTCTGGGAGTAATGTGTAAGTGTCAAGAGGCAGTTGGTTGAGGAGACCCACACAACCTTGCCCTCACCCTGACCATCCCGAGCCTCCATGTCTTCGGTTGTTGCGCTCCGTACGAAGGTGAGGCGGTATGAAGGCAACGCTGAGGACGTCGCCTGGACAAACAGGATCTCCACGAAGCCTGCCAGGTCGGTCCAAAGGGCAATGGGATAGTCTTGGGGACTTGGGGCTATCAACATCTCAGCGGCTCGGAATCTTGAGTTGGTATCACACTCCCAAGTAGTGATCCAGGTATGCAACCACTAAGTTGTCACAAAAGCACAAATCCTTGGAGAGGGAACGACCTTCTGATAGTCCAGTTATTACAGTACAGTACCTGCAACTGCTCCATGCATGAATGGAGAAAAGGATCCAAGGGACTGTCCTTGGGGACACATATCACATTGTCAACAGGTCGTCAGCCCCTGGACAGGTCATTGCTGATGGTTAACGATTCAGTTACAGTAGCGACGGCAGTGTGTTGGCTCGGTCAAAGTACTCAACAATAGCCGGGCTGGCTGTTCTGCTCGACGTCACATAGACATGACAAGACATGAAAAGAGCACATTGAAAAGGTGCAAGAGCGAAGTACATCGAGACGCTGCCTTTTGATCTAATATTTGCATGATACTGCATCGTATGGCATTGCCCCAATCATGCACCTGTTCAACATGTCACTTCATGTCACTTCTCCCTTTTCTTCTCCCCAATGAGTGCTGTGCCTCTTGGCCAAGCTATATTGCGCACGGGGAGACATCCACCCATCTGCCACCGAGACACCCTCGACCCAGTTGGCGGCCACAACCTCCCCCAACTCTGCACTCACCGTTGCTCTGCTCCACACGCGTGGACTGGCACCGGCTGTGCCCAAATGGAGTAGCAGCAGGGTATGGCCGCGCAGGAGCACCAGCCAAGGGGAGCCAGCAGCCAGAGCGTTGCTCATGGGCCACTGAGCTTCGGGCAAAAGCACCTGGACATGGCATGACATGGCCACACCCTCCCTCGCACAATCAACAGCCAGGCGTGTGACACTCCCAACCCCCAACTGCAATGAGTCTGCTTCCCCATTTTCTGCATGACCTAACTCTTGTGCCCCTTTCACCCGGCCTCTTCGGCCAAGCCCGTCTCCAGCGATCGTACAGAAACCCGGTCCAAGCCGCAGGCCACGAGCCGCTGGTCATCGGTGAGCAGCAAGCAGTTCCGAAACTGCCCAGCGGCCCCGGCCGCTGCGAGACTCGGCTCCTCCGGTGACCAAAGTAGGTCCGGCGACTGGAGAAGCGAGCGCGAGAGATTGTACTCCTGAATCAGGGGCAAATGTCAAGTCACCAGATTTTCTGCGTAGAGTAGCAACTAGATGCAACTAGTCTAAGATAGTCTATATAAGTGGTTTTAACCAAGCCAACTGCTTCTTCGCTCCTGAAAGCTTTTCGGATTCAGGCTTTCGTCCAAAATCTTGGCGGTCATGGACCATCCATAGCACAAATGAGTTGGCGACAAACGGTGTGATATGGTGTGATGCTATGCTGTGCCCTGCTTCTGCTGGTGGAAACTACCTGGTGACACATACAATTCTCCTGGTGTTATCAACTTCCTGTCATCCATTGACTTCGGTGTCCCTATTTTTATCATCCTCCATAACCTGCTACTTTGGATTGCACTCACTTGGAAGGCAAAGGACCAGCCACAAGGCAGTGAAGAGGGCACAGAATCCACAGCGTTTCTGCCAAGATGATAGTAAACATTGGGCCAACATCGCCATGGTCCAAACTATATATTTAATAGGCCTGTCACCAAAGTGGCTCAAGAAATACATATCGAAGAAGTGGCCCACCTCTTACACTATCAGTGCTAGACCTCCAATGACTATCAGATCATATCAAATCCTTGCCATCTTTTCCGGGTTGGAACATCATCTTCCAAGGGTCCAATGTTAAGCCTGCATTGTTCTGAGGGCCTTCGAGCCGTCTCTCTGGAAAATAGAGGTTGACCAGGCTAAACCTGTCTCCACCTTTCTTGTTTGGAGGGGAGACCAATCCCCCAAAAAAACTAAAGGTTGTCCACTGACTCCTTTCTTCACAAAAAGGCATCCCAAAGATCTCTGAGTTGCAGACTCACCAGGCCTTCGCCAAGCCGACCAGCCGATCTGCGAAGATCTGCTTGGTCCGGTGTTCCTCGGGAACAAAGCGAAGGATGATGGCAACAGGGGTGGAACACCTGCAATGGATTGAACTGAAGGATGATACCGAAGACCAGAACCCCACAAAGTCAAGGAGTCTTGAGTCTTGAAGCTGTTGGACAAGTATTGTTGTTCTGTCTTCTGAGGAGTTACAGTAGCAGTTCTGCCGTAAATGTGAGGCTGGTCTGATCACAACTGGCTCAGGCCAACTGGTGGCATCCATGTGGCCTGGAACCAGTGTACAGACTCAACCAAAGGCCCGGGATGTTGTATGTTGAAAATACAGTAACATGAATAAGCTGGACAATAAGCAAACACTTTCACCAACTGCAAATTCCAATGTTGTCCATCGTTGATGTTCCACACCACCTAATGAGTTCTCACAAATCATTGACCTGTTGCGCCACAAAGATCATAATTAGGGATCCTCTCCACCGCCCCAAGTGGCCCAACTCCGCTCCCCTCCGAACCATCCCCAGAACCGAGCGTCGACGCTCAAGATGCCGAACTCGATCTCCGGCTCGAAGGGCCGTCGCATGGAGCTCTGCACCTGAGTCCGCGTCGCGTCGGGTGCCACCACACCGGTGGGAATAAAGGAATTCCTTTTGGGATTGGGATCTCTGTGTCTGTGGACGAAACCTAAATAGACTACAATTTGATACAATTTGGTCACTCTGATTGTGTCTGAGTGGGCTCAGGGAAAGCACCGAACCGGGAACATAAACACCCAACCCCCCAAAAAAGGAAACAGCAATTTATGGGACACGTCGTGCTGCACCATATAACATCACAGACGAATTAGTTCCAGCTTGCAATCTTGTCATGCTTCCCCTTTGCACAGAACTCCAGCCTGAGCTCCACATTTTTTGAACCAAGTGGCGGCCCATCTCTTCGGAGGCTTCTTCGATTTCTCCTCAGCCATCCACGAGCGGAAGATCGCTGGGTGGTGAGACCCCAGCAACACGACCTCAAGCGTTGTGAATAGTAAGGGCCGCTTGGCCGAATTGCCCCAACGCAGACATTCATAAACAATCAAAACACGGGTGTAGTGTTGCGGCCCATAAGCAACCAACACCAAGTCAGTCAAACAAAGAATATCTTCCAAGTCCCCAAGTTCAACAGCTCGTTTGCTGCCAAAACCATCCTTCCAAACTCACCGACCTCCTCAAGCAGTCTTGCCATCTCCTCTACCGAGGCGCCCGTGGCATGGAGGCGACCGAGCCCACCGAAGAACTGGAGCGGCAGCGTGGAGCGGACGTGGCGGAGCGGGGCCTCTCTTTCTCACGCCTGACGGCAGTCGGTCGGGCTTTCGGGGAGTTGATGTGGCAAGGCTGCCAATGCCTTGCTGGGCTTTCTACTGTCATAGAATGGATGAAAACAAAACATACAGTTCAGAACATACTATTTCATTTTACAATTATGTATAGGCATACTGTACTGTACAGGTGGAATACATTCATATCTGGCACATCTCCTTCGTCATATTAAGTATAATGTAACTGTAATATCGAATCTTATTTAACCTTCATTTGTAACTTCTACGGGCTAGTTTCCAAGGTGCAGTCGTATGTAATGCATATAGCCCGAGCAGTTTACACCTCTTACACATGACCTGGATGGCAAGCAGGATCCAACCCCCGCCCATCCGCTGCCATATGGCTCTGTAGATCTGCACACAATATCCATCATATCATAACTTGTTGACCTTCTTTTGACACCAAGAGAGAGAGAGAAAGAGAGAGAGAGAGACACAAAAACAACTGATTATCATTGATGCCACCACCCCGACCTCTGTGTCTGCTCAGGCGAAACCCGCGGCTTCACCGGCGCCTCCAAATGCACAATGTGAGGTGGGTGGTTTCCCAAAGAGGAGACCACCACGAAACCAGAATGAAACATGCGAGCTCTATATGTGACATAAAATGCCCAAGAAACTATTTGATGACAGGGGATTGACCTTTATAGATTCTTATTGACCTGGGTGCAAAAGGGACACTACTGTACCAATAACACTTCGGTTCTGACGAGTGTTCGTCAGCTGCCTGCAAGGTGGCCTGCTGCGCCTGGCCAAGCAGGGCTGAAACGATGATGGGCAAAATGGCTGTTGACTCCAGAAACCAAAAACAACATGGAAACATGTGCAGATGAGCAACTCCTCTCAGAGTGAAAGTGGACACTTTGCCGGCTTGACCATCATCTGTCTGGTCAATTGTTGCCGAGTCTGCATATCTATGATGTGGCCTGGGCCAAGAGGCGGGCGACGAAACATATCGAAGTGATGGAAGCTGGTCGTCCAATTGCCGCGTTCACGCTCACAAGAAGCAACCATTAAATAGAATAGATCATGGCAGATGCTAGATGACCATCTTGCATGCACAAGAGCGTTTACAAGAGGATTGACTACTGTAGAGAAGCTAGTTGCTGAAGCTGTTGCCTGGCAAAGCATCAGTTGCATCAACTGCATCAACTGATGTTGGCCTGTGACTTCTGCAGGCAAGCAGCTGGTATCATGCCAAATCTTGCGAACATCTGCCATTCCTGTGCTCAGGGCATGCGAAGGAATCGAACGAATCAACTGAACTTGATGCGAAACGAGCCAGAGGTCGAAATGGGAGGCATTCGGAGGCACCGATACAGTAGCAAATGCTTCCTTGGCCTAACAGGGCCTTCGCATTGCTCTCCATGCAGTTTTGAAAATAAAACTGGCTTGCAAACCGTGATTGTTCCTGTAGGAGCTCAATTGATAAAAAAAATTGAAAAGAAAACATTCTCAGCATTATATATCCCCGTGGCCCATGCACCACAGCCAGCCGCCTCTGGACATGCCTGGGAACCACCATGCCTCAAAATGCTGTTGTCATCCGGTGTGGCTAGTAAATCAACAAGGTATGATGCTGCTGCGTTGGCCAAACGGGACCAACTGCAAGTCGACAACCAAGCCCTAGTGATTCCAACGAATCAAGCGTGCAACATTGAGAAACATGATGAAACATGTATTACCGCCCTCAGCTTCAAGCAAACTGAGGTATTGGAGTCGGTTCACACTTGTTATGAATTTGTGAAGTTTAAAAAACAAGAAAGTTTGCTAATCTCAAATCTCGTACTTGAGGATACTTTGAGAATCTTTGGGACAGAATCTTTGGGACGCAGTTTGGCCATGGTAGACCAACATCGACCAATGCAACTAGCCAACCTGAAACGAACCACCGCTGCGAACCGGTTCTAGGCCAAGCTACACCACCAGGATCTGACATGCCAGTGTCTGGACTGTGCGTGGCATGGATGGCTGGATTGTACAGCACTTCCCCATGTCTTCCTGGCACAAAGCGAGAAAGGAGCAAGGAAGAAACTGAAGTCCATGAAATGAATGTGTTACGTTGCTTGCACAAACCTTATCATCCAGCCACCTTTGGGTGTAATCTCTTAAACACAACTCCGGCATAGTATAGAACATTAATGCACATCATATTGTGTGCCGTCCTGGTGCCACCCATGGTTTGATGCTCCTGGGAGCTGCGGCACTGCTGAGCTGTGAAAGCCATGCTCAAGACTGACATGAGGATTGTTTCTGGAGACTCTTGAATGAATCTGATGTGTTGATTCCAAGCCCCCAGCTTTTGCCACGTGCATTTTAGCAACTGTCTTCATCATATGGACTGCTAGCAGCTAGCAGCTCCTGGTGGGCAAACTGCCACTGCTCAAGCTGCGGGGGGGCGCCATCTGTGACGGTCTCAGGCTTGCAACATCGAAGACCCTCCAGTCAGTGGACCGAAAACAGGCTAAATAGCTGGACTGTTCACTATAGACCTGTTGGAGACGCAGTTCCTGTGGCTTTTGGTTTGGCAATGATCTAGATCGCACGGCTGTGGACTTGGTTGGGTATGTAGGGATGATCGGCCAAACAGTTCGTCAGCAAGCAAAACAGGTAATTAGTAATGTAGTCATTGTTTGTTTGTTGGCTGGCTATCTAGCGTCATACACGGTTGTTCCTCGGAGCGGCTTGGACCTGGATAATCTTTGAGCCTGCAATTGAGCACATAATGAACACTCTGATGAGGGGATATCAAGCATTTGTAACCATTGACATGCGCCGTGTCTCAAAATTGCTCCTCGACCACTACTGCTCTGCAATTTCTAAAATTCAGTCAGTACCGTCAGTACCTAACATCGTTCATCGCGTGATGCTGACTATCCCCTTGAGTATTGCCCCAAGAAAACAATCTTGAAGCTCAGCCAGTCGACATTGGCCAACGGCCTATCAATAGCTTGCTTCTTCTCTGCTTGCCTTATAAGCGTGTCGGCATGGAGATGGCACAAATATCAGAATGATTCACAATTGGAGTTGAACGAGGGGATTCACTGTCCAGACTGGACATGTGCCGCATCTTCTCGAAGCTGCAGGCCTGGTGACATGCCAAGGAGTTCGGCAAACATTCATCTGAACACACTCAGGTCCGGTTCAGGGCTCTCAGCGCTGTGTGCTGCCAAGTTGTTCAGCCAATTGGATCCTACTGTCCGATACTTCAAACACAAAGCGAAAGTAACTACCGGCGGAAACCCTCCACCTCCACTTGCTGATTGAATATTACTATTCAGTCTTATTAGGCGCTGGATGGTGTTGGTATCCACTCATCCCTTCAAAACTTGGTGAGTATTGCTATCCTAACAGCACTCTCACTCAATGCACCTAGTGACCTAGATCGTTTCATGTTTGTTGCTTGTCGTGGTGACATCACTATCTCCTTGATAAAAAGCTAGCAATCTTCAACCTTCTGTCTAGGCGTCCCTACCTGAAAGCCCTGCAGGCATCGATGTTGAAAGCGCCGGAGCAAGCTGCAGGTGCCGCAGTGCTGTTGCTGAGGGCGCTGTGAGGGCCTTAGGGCTTTCGAAGTCTGATGAATTGCACAGATAACTGCAGGCTTCCATCGGAAACCGTCCCTATGTCGGAAATAAAGCGTCAGTTATAGATTGTCTCCAACAAGTTGCCCTCTGTGCAGAAACTGTGCTGCCTGCACCTGGCGAGCTCGGGCTTAGGATCGCTTTCTTTGCTTCTATCTTGGTTGAGTTCTTCCTTGTGCCAGAACAACTCCCTCTTCAAGCATCTCAATTTGGCATGGGAGATAAAGCTCAAAGGGTCGCAATCAATGGCCCAGAATGGCCCAGATCTGCTGATGCCCCAAGTCCAGCACCAGTGAGGTTCGCAGCAGCTCTGCACATGAAAGCGTGAAGAAGCTATTTCAATTTCTTTCTCCAAGAGAACGGTCTCGGCACCTTTTGGCGCTCGCCAGCAAGTGCCTGGTACATCATAGACTCCGCTGAAACTGGGCTAAATCAGAACTGATCGCTGGCATAGATCACACCAGGCACAAGCTGCCCTTCTAAGCTGCTAAGCCCTACTTATAAGTTTCAGGCCTGCATCAATTGATCGTTGCCAATGGCTAAATGTCCACTGGTTGTTAATTGGCATCTACTTGCACTCCAAGGATTGTGAGCTGCTGCAGGCACAACACAGTGGGCGTGCGCTGAAACAGGTCCATTTCGCTCAAAGGCGAAGTTGCTGCGTCTTAACCGTGCGGCGCCCAGCAGAGTCCGCCATGGCGCGCACAAGTTAGATGGGAAACAAACACAGCAACCTCAATTAGAGGGGCGGACTATGCCAGGAAAATGGAACACGCTAAAGGACTTTATAAATGGATTTGAATAGACTGAATGAACAAATGCAGTCAGTCTCATGACGTCAAATGCCCTTCAGTAGCTGGGACGGACCAGGAGTCTTCAGCCGGTTCAGGAGACCTCCTCAAGCCACGGCGGAAGGGCCTCTGGCGAAAGCCCTTGCTCAAAATCGCATTGGGAAGCATGAAGGCAGCCACTGGAAGGTCGGGCTTGAAGCCAATCTTCAACACAATGGTAGGTTCGTGCTTCCACTCCACAGCGGTGAGGATGGCCTGGGTGCCATGGGCCAAAATCACTTCACTGCCAATCTGCAGCTCCTTGGCTTCCACGGTCCGGTTTCCAGGAACCAGGATCCGATGGTCAGGGCTCACCACCAGGCATGCAGGACCGGCCTGGAGCTGAATGACGGAATCCACTTGATGTTGCTCAGGTGGGTAGGCCACTTCAGTGAAGCGACCATTGGCCGCGACGACCTGGGCACCCTGGAACAACTTGCGAGCAGGTAGCAGGTCCTCCTCATCTTCTGCCAACACGGTGAAATATGCATTCGGGAGAAAGCAGCAAGTACACATCGAATCCACATGAATCCAGGAATCAGCAGAGCACTCGGAGGAGTCGCTGGCAGCCTCACATGGTAGTTGAACACTTGGCAGTGCAGCACTGTGGCAGTGAGCTGCAGCTGCCATCCCGTCTTCAAGCACCTGCCCGCATCCACATGGTTGTCCTCCTGGAGTATCTGGAGTTGGATTCCCTGGAACGACCTAAGGATGGCCTTCAACTCGTCGCCAAAACGAATCCATGCTTTGCCCGGGTATAGCTCCATGGCTCTCTTGCAGTCCTCCAATGCCGCGTCACATTCGCCAAGAGCTATCTGGGCAGCGAAGCGATTGAGAAAACAGTTCGCACCGTTTGGATTCAGCTCAATGGCCTTGTCGTAGTCCTCGATGGCCGCCTCGTGTCTGCCAAGCGCATTCTTGCAGTAGCCACGCTTGTTGAACGCTTCCGCATATTTGGGATCCAGCTCAATGGCCTTGTCGTAGTCACAGTCCTCCATGGCTGCCTCGTGTCTGCCAAGGTCGCTCTTGCGGGTGCCACGGTTGTTGAACGCACCCGCTTCTTTGGGATCCAGCTCAATGGCCTTGCAGTAGTCCTCCATGGCCGACTCGTGTCTGCCAAGGGCACTCTTGCAGGTGCCACGGTTGTTGAACGCACCCGCATCTTGGGATCCAGCTCAATGGCCTTGTCGTAGTCCTCAATGGCCGCCTCGTGTCTGCGAAGGTCGCTCTTGCAGTTGCCACGGTTGTTGAACACAGCCGCTTCTTTGGGATCCAGCTCAATG